CCAGCTGGATTGAACGTGTCGTGAGAAAAAGTACGAGGGGATATCGTGACATTCTAGTTAAAATTCTACAGAGATCATCAAGTAGGTGTTTTGACGGCCATAATAAAGCCTGACCATCTGCCTACGTGTCATAAGCCAGAGATCTCAAAGAGATATCTGTGAAGGTAAGTGAGGATCAGAAGGACAACAATCCTTGCAGCCCTCACAGTCGGGAAGCTGAGGTGCCGTCGCACGGTCGAAGATGAGGACCACAAGAATGTTTTAGTATTTTTATAATTTTTCAGGAGGGTAAAGGTAAGGATATTCAAAGCTGTGTTAGTTGTATTAAGACTACTAGAGGATCCGTGTCTAGGTGTAGATATTTAGATATTGATTACAGTGTGTGCCACCCAGCAGTAGGAGAGCCTAAATGTTTTGATCCCCAATTCCAAGCCCGTACAATTTGGTTGGTAATTTGGAATAGTAACTCCCAGGGGACATTAATAAATAGGGCTGTGATAAATACCATACAGTCTACGGGTATTCTATTATTTGATGCATGTAAGGCAATTTCGGTTAGCAGAAAACCTTGGAATGTATGTGGTAATCTAAAGTGGGAACGAACTTATGGGTTCAATGACAAATATTTATGCCCTAGTAAAAGATCTACTCATCCTGACTATCCAAATAGAGACTTCAACTTCAGCCCCTATTGGTCATGTGTAGGGTGGGTGACCTGGGGAAAGACAATAGATCAAGATATGATTATCCAAAGGTTGCCCACTACACTGTATTGTAAAACTATGGAGTGTAATCCGGTTCATATGACCATTTCCAATCCGCAGCACTTTATTGACAAGTTCGGAAATCTATTTGGGTTCCAAATATACAGAACAGGGTCGGATCCTGGGGCTATTATATATGTAGGCATCGAAATGGAGACAGTAGCAACCCAGACTCATCAGGTTTTTCATTCCTTCTATGAGGAGATGAGTGTTGAGGATAAAATTCCCCATAATGTTAAGAACCTATTTATTGATTTGGCTAAGAGTATTGTAGGTAGTCTTAATATAACTAACTGCTTTGTATGTGGAGGTACTAATATGGGAGACCAGTAGCCATGGGAAGCAATGGAAGCATGGTACCCTGGTTCTAAGATAGATGGAAAACAGATACTTTCTCAGTCTGATCATCAAGTAAATACTAGAGGTAAATCAGAGTGGCAGTTAAAAACATCTATCATAGGCCATGTATGTTTAGCAAGAAGAGGGCCAATGTATAATACACCTGTTGGAGAGTTAACCCGCTTAGGACAGAAGGCCTATAATGCTGATACAAAAGCACTTGGTGGTCAGCTTCAGAGTCTCAGAACCAACTAATCCGTTTGCCAATTACACTAATTTGAAAGAGGTATGGTTTGATTTATCTGCTACATCCAATTGGAAAATCCCAGTGACTTTGTGCTGGATCTGTGGTAAGAAAGCATTTTCTGAGTTACCACAAGACTGTGAAGGGGCAAGTGTGCTAGGTATACTCAAACCATCCTTCTTCTTGTTGCCAATCGAAACAAGAGAGACCTTGGGAGTTAAGGTTTATGATGTAAATCATAAAAAGAAGCGAGCATCTTTGATTATAGGTAGCTGGGAAGATGATGAGTGGCCTCCCCAATGTATTATTAATTATTATGAACCTGCGAAGTAACTCCATTTGTGGATAACGGCACGTGATGACGTGATGAAGTAACACGCGCAGGAGGTGGGAGTGTCCGGAGGAATGGTGATCGGGCGGAGAAGCGTGGAGGAAGGTGGCCACGCCGAGTAAGTTTGGCGGTTGGGAGGAATGCTGCTGTGACAGAAGCGCGCGAAAGAGATTATTGATCTGCATTTGAGCTGCATTTTGATTAAACAAACTTTAGTGTGGAAAATCAACGAAAAAAAAAAAACGGAGAAAAAAAGAAAAGAAAAATCGGATTTTCGAACGTCCTTTTGAGCTGCTGGTATGTCGGAAAGGCAAATAAAAGGTAAAGAAAAGGATGACTTTTATAAACTACAATAATGAGAAAGAAGCTGAAAATCCTGTGAGTACCCCAAAGTAAATTTAAATCTATCGATAAGCTCTCTAGATATAAGCATATATACAATCCGTTTGGCAATTGAGAGCTACAACCAATGTAAATGATAAGTCGAGGCTGAAAATACATAAGCCTAATTAAGCCAATATAATTAATCAATATAAAATAAAGGCAGAAAAAAAGAAAGAAAAAAGGAGGATGAAAAAAAAAAAGGAAAAAAAATTAATAAAATAAACATCAAAAATTAATATGTTACAACAATAGTAATTGTGCTACAACAACTGCTATAATAATTGGATTGAGTTCATATGCTGCTATAAGCTGAAAAGATTGAGAAGGTGCCTGTAACCGAGAGTTATAATTAGTGAAACCGCCAGTGCATACTTTTAGCAAATTGAAAAACAAGTTGTGGCTGAAAATACAAAGCATAATTTAACTCAAGTCAATATAATTATCTAAAATCAAATAAAGGCATAAAGACAGAGAAAGAAAGGAAAAGAAAAAAGAAGAGACAGAAAAGAGAAAGGAAAGAGAAAGACAAGGGAAAGTAAAAAGCACCAATATTTGATATTGATAAGACTGTTTTTCATAAGTTGCTATAAGTTGAAAATCATTAAGAAGTTGTCATTAAACTAAAGAAATTAAAAAAAAAAAAGAACAGAAAGAAGAAGGAAGAGAAGATAAGAAAGGGGGAAAGGAGAGGGAAGGTAGAAGGAGGAAAAAGAGAGAAAAGAAGAAAGAAACAAAAAAGAAAAAAAAAAGGGGGCAAGACAGTGTTTTGACAACCTTTGTGAGAACAACAAAATGACAACTAGAAAAACTACCATGGAGAAAAAGAAGGAAAATAAGTCAGTATATCCAGCAGAAAAAAGGATGTCTGTTTTTTTTTCGACCCCTTCTAAAGATATACAAGAACGTAAAAGTGAAAATGAAATAAATCCAGTAAATACTTCTAACACCAACATGGATCTTCTAATGGCGCAAGGATCATCACTAGTTCCTGAAATAACGAAAGACAATCTACAGGATCAGCTTAAATCACTACTAGAGGCACAATTTAACATGCTAAAACAAGATATGCTTAAGAGTCTTGAAGACATAAAACAAGACACTAATAGAATTGCTATATCAGTGCAAGTTTAGGAAAAAAAACTTGTTTTGTTTGACAACCAATTAGGCACAGTTAAGGAAACAGTGCAGTCATTAACAAACAAAACCTTAACTTTGGAACACAAAATAGCAGCTCTAGAAGACAGATCAAGACAATTTAATTTAAGACTTAGAGGTATACCTGAAGATATAACAACGGAGAAATTAAAAGATTATCTATGCAGCTTATTTAAAGAAGTCTCTCCCGAAGTAATTGATCATCAAATAGAAAAATTCCACCGGATACGAAAACCTAACATAATTGCAGCACATTTTCCAAGAGACGTTATAGTGAGTTTCTGTTCACTTTCAGCTAAAAACAACTTGATTAAGGCCAGACGCATTAACCCCCTAGAAAATTCTGCCTATAAAGATGTATACTTTTTGCAAGATCTATCTTATTTTACTAGAACATGGAGAAAGTCTTTCTCAACACTTACGGATTTTTTGAAGAGAAATGATATTAGATTTCAATGGAATACTCCGGCTTCTTTGAAATTTATTTGGAGACAAGAAAGACTTTCCTTTACCGATCCAGATGAAGCAAAGAGTTGGTTAGCAAGAATTCAAATATGAAAACAACAAGACTGTGGAAGTAGAATGAACAAATTTTTTTTTTTTTTTAAAATAAGCAGAAGAACCTATTCAAATTCTACGACATATGTAATTTACAAACAATAATTATAAGAAAGAACAGAATTTATTATTATAAGGATATATTAGAAAGGTAATTCTTATATCTTTATGTGCATATGGTTGGAGTTTAGGATATCTGTAACGCACAAAAATAATATATGAAAATAATGTGTTGGATTATAAGGACAAAAGGTTGCTAGAAATGTTTTTTTTTTTTTTGTGATAAAACTAGTAGATGGGTCCAAGACAATAAAAGGTTATTATAGACATCCTTATGCATATTAAGCAGAGAAAGTACTTATAAAAGTTTCTACTTATGCAAATAGGCAGAAGAATCCATTTAAATTCTATGATATATGTAATCTACAAACAATAATTATAAGAAAGAACAGAATTTATTACTATAAGAACATATTAAAAAGGTATTTCTTATATCTCTATGTGCATATGGTTGGAGTCTAGGATATCTGTAACGCACAAAAATAATATATGAAAATAATGTGTTGGATTTTGTTAGAAATTTTTTTTTTTGCAGTTTGTGACCTATAAAATAAGTCGATGAGGTAAAAGAGGACATAAAGTTATTATAAATATTTGCACGCATATTAGTTAGAAAAAAATTACTCACTAAGGTGTTTATATATGGATACATGTAAACGACGTGATAGAAAAGATGCTTGAAACATTCTTTACTTAATTTATATCTATTTTACATTAATTTTATTCAAATTGTTTATTAAGGTTTTTTATTTTATGTTTAAATTAGAAGAATCTGTCTAAAATGTGTGATAGATATAAAAGATGGACATTGAGATGGGTTTTTCAAGATTTGAAGATTGTCTATTTACACTCTAAGAATTAGAAGTAAAAAAAAAAGTGAAGTCGTTTTTTTTTTTTTTTTTGCAGTTTATGATTTATAAAAAGTTGATGAAGTAAAAGAGGATAAAAAGTCACTATAATTATTTGCACGTATATTAGTAAGAAAAGAATTATCCACTAAGGTGTTCACTTTCAGAAGTAGAGGAATTTATTCTTAGTTTATGACACATGTAGTTTATAAACAATATTAATAAGAAATAATGAGATGGTTCAATAAGGATAAATTTGATAGACACTGTAACGGATCACCTGGCACCCCGACTGGGTACCTCCATTGAAGGATGCTCCTAGCGCTTCCTGAGGACTCCAAGCACTGCAGCAGACACCACAATCACCGAACCAGAGAAGCGTATGCCTTCTCTCAAGCATATGAATGCTGTAGACAGTTGAATAGGAACCATACGAATAGGTTTACTCTCCTAGCAGTCAAACTGGAACAGCATACAATGAATCCTTCCCCCAATAATGAGACGGCACTTCACTTTGAGGGTTAAAACAGGAACTCTCTGTACTGGCACATACAGCCTCTTTTATTCACAATCCACAAAACATAGTACTGCCCACAGGGTTTTGCAGAACCACCAATAAACACATTACAACACATACAATGCAAGTACAGCAGCCAATCAGACACAATGGGAAAATAGAAACACACCCAGCATATTTCTCCCTTCTGCTTAGGAGATAATTGAGTCAATTACTGTATCTACTCAATTATCTCCAAGCTGAAAAGTTACTTTTTGTACATTTTTATAACTTTGTGAGTTAACATCGTACATACATAAAACTTATATTATTTTAACCAGTATAACTTGGGGACAAACATATCCAAAATTCACTTGAATAGGTTCAGGGGTTTAACGGTTAGGTTGAAGTCCTTTGTTTTCACTTGCAAGCCTGATTTTTCCTGGCAAACCAGTTCCCACTGGTTTGGCAGTGTCCCTGGGACAACACCCTGCTGGAGAACAATGGATCCGGGGGAGGGGAAGAGGAAGTGTCCAAAAAGTTTCAGTAAGTCCATTCACTGTGCTTAAAGGGCCAGTAGCTGCACAATAAAATACAATATGCCCAAATATTGCATTCAAAAGTACAAATTTACCAGGGGCCATAGTCAGCAGGTAGGAGGCGGGCAGCCAGGCCTCTCCAATTCCAGGTGGCGAGGCAGGTTCCGCCACATTTCTCCCCTTTCCCATTGAGACTATCCAAACTCCAGACCTTCAATCGGTCTGGGGCTCTGATAGTCGGTCGTCCTTTCTCACCCAGTGTAGCTGTCCCGGTGTTCTTCTGCCACATATGTCCAGTTGGAAATCCATAGTCTGGTGGAAAGGTAACCAGGGTGGTCTCTCTCCTGGTTGGACAAAGCTGTTGCTGGAGAGAAGGGGTAACAGGCTCCTCTCCCTGCGACGACCTCTCTTGTAGTAGGGGAAAACAAACTGCCTTCTCTTCCAATACATTGTCCTGTTGCTGGGGGCCAGGACAGACTGTCCATATCTCCAGTGGTGCAGGTGCAGAGACTACGGTCCCTTCTGCACTGTTGTGGGGCTTACTGTCTCCTCTTGGTGGGCTAGGCTGCCGCTGGGGAGGGGAAACGAGACTCTCCCCACCCGGTAAAATATTCTGCCGCTGGGGAGCCGGACTGATCCTCCGTACTCCCTGTAGCTTGGGCGCAGAGACCATGGTCCCATCTGCGCTGGTGAGGGGCTTAGTGTCTCCCCTTGGTGGTTTATGCTGCCGCTGGGGAGAGGAGGTAACAAACTCCCCTCCCTTACACACTTCCAGCCGCTGGGGAGCAAGGCTGACCCTCCGTACTCCCTGTAGCTTGGGCGCAGAGACCACGGTCCCATCTGCGCTGGTGAGGGGCTTAGTGTTTCCCCTTGGTGGGCTAGGCTGCTGCTGGGAAAGGGGAAAGACACTCTCCCCTCCCGGTAAAATATTCTGCCGCTGGGGAGCAGGACTGATCCTCCGTACTCCCTGTAGCTTGGGCGCAGAGACCACGGTCCCATCTGCGCTGGTGAGGGGTTTAGTGTCTCCCCTTGGTGGGCTATGCTTCTGCTGGGGAGAAGGGGTAACAAGCTCCTCTCCCTGAACCATAGACTGCCGCTGGGGAGAGGGGGTAACAAGCTCCTCTCCCTGACGCTCTCTCTCTTTCGCCCGCTGGAATTCTCGGTCCAGCCTTGTGTTTCGCTCGGCCATGACCTGGTTCCAGGTCACCCGGCGTGTCTCCATGGGTACATCATCCCCATACTGGGCCACTCGCTGCCTTATTTCGGCCAGCCAATTATCTCCAGACCCTTCCATACTGGTCTGCTGGTGAAGAGGGGGACCATCTGTCTCCCCTTTCAATATATTGTCCTGCTGCTGTGGAGGAAGGACGGCACCTTCTGCTCCCTGGGGTACACACTGCCGCGGGGGAGGAAGGACGGCACCTTCAGCTCCCTGGGGTACACACTGCCGCTGGGGAGGAAGGACGACACCTTCAGCTCCCTGGGATACATACTGCCGCTGGGGATCTGGGCCGACTGCCCAGCATCCCTGTAGGGCCGGTAGAGAGACAGCCGTCCCATCTCTACCTGCCATCGGTGGGTCTTCCCAGGACCAGTCTATGAGGTCCCCTACTTCTGCAACTGGTAGTGAAGCAGTGGGGACCTCGGCTGTGTTTTCCCAGCTGTAGGTTGGCAGGTCTGGGTCCGCCACCCAGTTTTCCTGTTCTGCGTCTATGCTCTGCGGCTGACATGAGTTCAGTAGTTCCACATAGTCCATCTCTAGCTCTCGTTCCATGGCAGCGAAACGGCGGATGTCTTCTCCCAGTCCAATAGATCTCGGGCCCTGTAACATCTCACTTCGGTAATGAAAGATACAAGTTGCAGATATAAACCTAAAAAATTGGAATCAAGTAGGAATTTTGCGACTGTCCCAACTACTTGTAGAAGATAAAATTAAAACTTTTGCCCAATTAACACAAGAATACAATTAACCATCAAAAGAGTTGTTTAATTATTTAAGACTTAAAAGTTTTTTGATGTCACACTTAATAGCATCAAAAACTAGTTTGAATAATGTGTTAAATATACTTTTCAATACAGACAAGATAAATAAACCACTCTCAAAAGCTCTGGTATTAAGTAAAATGTGTAATAAAGAAAAAACTCCAACAGCTATAACTGCCTGGAAAGAAGAATTAAACATGGATATAAATATTAGGCACTGAGGTTCTTCACTGACAGGAGTTTCGAAGAATATACACTCGCTAAATTTATTAGAAACTCATTTTAAAGTCTTAAATAGATGGGACTTAGTACCAGACAAATTGAATAAAATGTACCCTTCAACAAACCATCTATGTTGGAGATGTGGTATAAACACAGGTACCTTTAAGCATATTTGGTGGGAGTGTAGTAAATTGAATAATTTGTGGTCTAATATTCAAAAGTTTGTGTCTGTAGATCTGAACCTTGAGCTGAGGCTCTCTCCAGAGATCGTTCTGCTCCACCTAAATTGGCCGGTAATGACAAACGATTCGAAAATTATTCTTATTCATCTTTTTTTAGCAGCAAAAATTGTGATTGCGAGAGGATGGAAAAATGACAGAGAAGTTCCTTGGGATCAAGTTAGAGCCCAGCTCAAGTTTCAAATAAAAATGGAACTGTTGTTGAGCAAACAAAAATTAAGTAGGAAAACAACAATTTGGATGAAATGTTGGGAGAAGATTGATAAATAGAGGGGTTTTTTTGTTTTTTTTCCTTCTCTATATGAGGCTTGTTAAAAATTTAACCCCTACATAAATTTAAAGAGAAACCGGGATTGATTGTCAACACTTTGGACAATATAATATAAGATATAAGATACAAGATATACAATTTTACTCGAAAGGTTTCTTCCCTTCTCTTTTGCTGCATTGTCTTGTCTATGTAGATATGTAAGTCTAAGTATTGTTCGTCTTTGGTCAATCGAAACGTATAAAGAAACTTCTTATGGATGTATGTTTCAAATAGGAAAATCGTTTCTTTACCATTTGTATGTAACTGTTGTATTGTATTGTTTTTTTTATGGAAAAAAAAAGGGGAAACCTTTTTAATAAAGACTATTAAACTAAAAAAATAAAAAAAAATAAAAAATTATTATGAACCTGCTACGTGGGCAGAAGATGGTACTTCTGGATATAGAACCCCAATATATGTGCTCAACCGTATTATAAGACTACAGGCGGTGGTTGAGATTATCACCAATGAGACAGCGCAAGCACTCAACCTCTTAGCAAAGCAGAATCCCCGGATGCGATCAACCATATACCAGACTAGGCTAGCCCTTGATTACTTCCTAGCAGTAGAAGGAGGTGTATGCGGGAAGTTTAATCTAAGTAACTGTTGTCTGCACATAGGCGATGAAGGGCAGGCAGTGGCTGAACTTACCAGTCAAATGGTTAAACTTGCGCATGTACCTACTCAGATCTGGAACGGGTATAATCCGAGTAGTTGGTTCGGAAGTTGGTATGAGCAGCTTGGAGGGATTAAGGCACTAGAAGGAGGAGTAGTATTTATTATATTTCTTATGCCTCCTCCTGCCCTGTCTAATCCCACTAGTGGTCAGGTCTATACATAGTGTTATAGAGAGCACTATAGAAAGAAAAACAGCTGCCCATGTAATGGCTGTCTGGAAGTATGAACCCCTAGCCCACAGAGAGAATAATCAGGATGAGGAATGTTGAGAGAGCACAAAGTTAAGTTAGAATGATTACAAGGTCTGTACTGGTTCATGGTTACTTGAGTGGTGTTGGTAGATTATGATTAGTGATGCATCTGGAATAATGTTATATCAGAGGCATCAAATGGGGGGAATGTGATTGGATTCCAGCATGGTCAAAATTTAGTAGGCCGAAATCTCCACATGGCATATGCTAATTAGTATCTTATTACAAACAGTTGGATGAGTCATCAGTATACTGAGCATGTGTGGAAGTGGATAGTAAATTCCTTTGTCTTCAACAAGCCATGTGGTGTGCCCATATAAGGTGATTCTGAATATCCTGTGTGCTGATTGGTCTGAGGAATATAGGAGGGGTTATACTGTATGGGAGGGGATATGCTTCTAACAAAAAGCCTCTACACCATGCTTTTTGCCTCTCAGATATTTTTGGAACAGGAGTTCATCTGAGACCCAACCGGTATGTGAATAAAGGCCTCTTACTTCCTGAAGACTTGTGTCCATATCTCTATGTGTGGCTTCTGCGGTTTGTTCCTGTTATTCCTCCGGTAACAGCCTCACCATAGTCTCCAAGCCTGTCCCCATAATACCACTATTAAGTTAGAGACCGAGTAGAGAGAATGTGTCAGGTTGCTATTATTTAATGGGGGGTAACCTCTAGATAGAACATAAATGAAAAAAGAGAGCAAAAAAGCTAGGAAGAGAACAGATAGGCCTAAGCTCTTCCACTTAAAGCTTTTGAATATTAAAGCAACCCCATATAAATTGTAAAGGCTGATAAAATAAAATGTAACTTTTAATTGGCCTAAGTGAAAATGTATATATCCCTACATATCATTAAACAATACAAGTAAAACAGGGGGGGGAGAAAAAACAAAAAAAGATATATGC